GGACAGGTGGCCCTGTGCTCCATTTAGATGTGTTCGGCTCCACTGGCCATACACGAGTCTGATCCATACTAATGCTATGCTGATAGAACGGTCAAGACATCCTCGACAGCCTAAGCCAACTCAAGCCTATCCTGGTTGAGCGGTATGAGACCTGGCAGTCAAGCCAGCGATCAAGCCCAGGATCAAGTCGATCCCCGTCCGCAGACCCACATCTCAGTCGCGAGGAAGAACGAGCACGTGAGGCTCGAGAAGCAGCTCGTCGGGAGGAAGCATGGAAGCAGGAGGATTACGTCCGTCGTCAGGCAGAAGAAAGAGAACGGCAGGCGCGGGAAGAGGCAGCGTGGCGTCAGGCACAAGACGCGCGCAGGAGAGAGGACGGCGACAGAGCCCCTCTCACAGAGAGGCAGAGGCGGGATGAGGAGAACAGGCGGTATGCTGCGGAAGAGGCGAAGAGGGAGGAGGAGCGTGCCGCACGAAGAGCAGCTGAGGATCGCAGACGGCAGGAGCAGGACGGCATCATGAAGAGGCAGCAGGAGGCCGATGCCGCCGCACGCGCAGCGCGAAGAGACATTGCCAGGTTGACACCGTCGCCGGTCCCGCCATCAAGTGCGACCAGCTCGTCGATTCGAATGCCGGACCCAGAGCCTCATACGCGGTACGGGGGGCGGTCGGTGCACGCGCCTCAGCCGTCTCGTCCTCCGGATTCGTATAGTAGCAGTGGTCTCATGCCGCTTGAAAGCCCGACGAAGTACGAGGACGACTCGTCCACTGACGTCGAGGGTCCGAAGATACCCTGGACTCGCCGTCCCGTAGAACAAACTCCGAAGGGCAAGCAGGCACCTGGGTATGTGCCCGTCGGCGCGTGCTTGGCTATGTTGCGATACTAACTGCACTTAAGGATCTCATATCCTGCGCCGGTTACCACGACGTCTCCGCCACCGCCAGAATTGGGCAGTGTCAAGTACCCATCGCTCATGTCACAACACCAGCTCAAGCAGGGCTACGTGCCCTCCCTCCAATCCATGTTCGCACCTACTTCTCTCTCTCAAGCGCCTGACTCATCTCTCCTCTTCGACCCCAAACCACGTTCCGGCAACCTGTACAGCAACATCCTCCCATCTCAGTCCACGCCTATTGCTCCCGTCATTCCCCCATACCCAACGCACATGCCCGTTCCAGAGTCCCATCAACCGCCAGCGACGTATACACACACCCATACCCCGTCCTACTCCAGCCAGAGGGGGCCTTCTCCACGACCTCCACAGCCGCCACAACACCGTCCGTCTGGGTCCACCTCGAGCTCACGCATCGTCCCTGGAAGCTCGAAGGACGTGCAGCTCCTCGACCTGCGCACGATCAAGCTTCCGCGCGATTGTCTTCCCAAGTTCCTCTCGATCGCGCGAGTCAACACGTTGCAGAACCGCGAGACATGCGGTCTGCTCCTGGGCAAGGACAAGGGCACCAAGTATGTGGTGACGACGCTTCTGATCCCAAAGCAACACTCGACGAGCGACACGTGCATGATGGACGAAGAGGAGCTTGTTCTGCAGTTCACGGAGGAACGGCATCTGATTACCCTCGGCTGGGTGAGTGGCCACTTTCTCAGCGGGAACCTTGAAAGGAGCCTGACGATGCCGATTAGATACATACCCATCCTACGCAGTCATGTGAGTCTTATCTCGTTTGGAATGTGAACAAATCCTGACAGGCTCGCGAAGGTTTCATGTCTTCGGTCGATCTGCACACCCATTCCGGCTTCCAGCGCATGCTGCCCGAGTCCTTCGCAGTCGTCTGCGCACCGTCTTCCACGCCTCAGTGAGTGCGCTGCGATGCGCCAAGGCGTGTGTGCGTGTACTGACTGCGCCCTCAGGTTCGGTATCTTCCGACTCACCGATCCGGGAGGGCTGCAAACCATCCTAGAGTGCAGCGCCAAGGAGGCGTTCCACCCTCATCCCGATGTACCCATATACACCGTACGTCCTCTCCCCATTGCTTTCCGGATGCTCGCTAATGGCTCCGTCTGTAGGACTGTGACAACAGCCATGTACAAATGAAGGACCTCCCGCTCGAGATCGTTGATCTACGCGGCTGACCCCGGAGTATGTACCCTACATCGTGTTTGCTTGTGTTATGTTTGTAAATCATCTGTATGCATCTTGGCCATTGCTTGTATCCACATCACTATTCTGTTACTTATATATTGACTGCCATCTTGGATCCGATGTAGCTGGTCCGGGAAGGGTTGCGCAGATGCCGCCATTTACATCCTTACATCGTGACAACTCTCATTCAACGTGTTAGTATTGAACTCGCGCAGGGACTCTACGGTCATCACTGCGATTCGCAATACAGTAGTTGGTCACGAATGCGGCCGGGAGTCTGACTGTCACCGTCATGGCTCATCGAATGATGTTTGGCTTATGTATGTTCATACATACCCTCTATACAAGCCTTCGATAGCTCAGTTGGAAGAGCGTGGGACTGTAATGGTTTACTGGGTTCTACCCGTCCAAAAATTGGGTATCCCAAGGTCACTGGTTCGATCCCGGTTCGAAGGATTATCTTTTGCTGAAACTAACACCCCAAACTCTACAAACCCGTCTGTGTGATACTCGACTACCTCAAATAAGTCTGTTGTGAGCATATGCATGGGGAGGCCTAGTCTCGGCTCCAGACCTACTCGGTGCTCGTACCTCCCTCCAAGAAGGTCTGGTGCATTTCGGGCTCGGCTAAGGCCATCGTGACAAAGGTCACAGAGCGCCCGCTTATATAATTACATAGCGTACACAATGTAACGTCAGCAGGAATGTTCTGCAGGGCGCAACTGGTGGCATTGCTGTTGCGAAGTCCTTCCTCTCATTCCCTCTCGAAGTATGCACTGTACGCATATACTATCTAGCTTATAATGCCTTCTGAGCCTTGCGCGGCCTCAATAGCGCCCTCCATCGACACGTCTGACGGCGAAGACATCATCCTCGAGCCTACCCCTGTCTCTACACCACTCTCCCACCATGTCCTCATCCGCGAACGATCCTACAGGCTTTTCGAAGAAGCACGCATCCGTGCGCGCGACACAAAGAAGTATGACTCCCACGCAACCCGGCAGACCATGATAGAGCAGTGTCGCGAGCGAGCGGATGTCACGCCGTACCCAGAACAGCTAGACCTCGCCGAGTGCATGCTGCTCGGGTTGGATGCGACGAGTATTGCCAGCACGGGATGGGGCAAGACCCTCACGTTCGTCCTCCCGTTATTCGTCCCGGAATCTAAAGGGAAAATAGTAATCATTGTATCGCCTCTGAATGCGCTAGAAGCAGACCAGGTGAGCATCGTGCAAGTCCACCGCGATAGCGTTGTTCTCACCATTGTCAGGCTGCAAGGTTCCAGAAGATGGGCTTGGAAGCCATAGCGTTGAATGGGGAAACACACACCCCTGAGGTTCTGAAGGTACGCGTCGTCAGCTTTTACCAATAAAGAGTATGAAGTGTGACGCAGGTATCACAATAGAAGGTCGCAAAGGGGGCTTACAGCGTGATACTTGTCGGGCCCAAGCTCTTGACAGGAGAGGAGAGCGCGCTGCGGGACCTCTTGAGCCAGCCACAGTTCAACAAGAAGGTGCTGGGACTGGTGATCAACGAAGCACATTGTATCTGCCAGTGGGGAGGCGACTTCCGCAAGGAGTACTCACAATTGTCCATTGTACGCGCACTCCTATCGGCCCTAATGTCCGTCTTCGTCACTTCTGCCACTATGACCCCACTCGTGCTCAGCAACACCTGGAAGAGCGTACAGATTGATCCCGAGAAGTCGTTCTTCCTCAACCTCGGTAACGACCGGCGGAATATCGCGTGGCACGTCGAGTACATGACGGCGGGGAAGGCAGACCTGGAATGTCTTCAGCTCCTGATCCCAGAAGATGCAGAGACGCTTACCTGCCTGCCGAAGACGATGGTGTTCTTCGACAACATTTTCCAATCGCAGAAGGCCCACCGGTGGCTTCTCGAGCGACTACCTGCGCGGTTCCGCAAGCGCGTCAAGTGCTATAACGCGCGTCTGGGCGATCTGACGAAGAAGGTCGTCATGCAAGGCTTCCGGAAGGGCACGGTAGACATACTATTTGCGACAGAGGCTGCAGGGATGGTGAGTCGGTTCACAATTGGTCTGATAGGTGTCCTGCTCACATACCTCAGGGCTGTGATATCCCGGACATTGTCCGGATTGTCCAGTACATGACTCCAGAGTCCCTCGGTGTATGGATACAACGCGCAGGTCGCGCGGGTCGATCTCCAGACATTTGGGCTGTGGCCATCCTACTAGTGGAGACGTCGGTGTTCGCTGAGAAAGGCAAGAAAGATCGGAAGGAGGGAGATCCGATCACTTACGTGAAGACTCTCGAGCCTGGCCTGAGAAAGTATGTCGACGCGCCGAAGGAGACTTGTCGGCGTGATGTGGTCGACAAGTACTTTGATAACCCACCAGGTCGCCAAGGTACGTGACTAGAATGAATCATAAGTCAGCGCCGCTCATATGGGACATTGTAGTGCCTACCAGGGAGTGCTGCGACGACTGCACACGTTGCAAGAACGAAGCTGCTGCTAGGGCATCTGCAGCAACCGACCCAGACGACACCCTAACCCATACGCCGCTTGCTGGTACGACAACCCGTACCCGTCGCGACACTGACTTGTCAATGTCACCCGAGGAGCGCTTTCCAATCCGGAACTGGCGCGACTTCTTGCAGAACATCCTACGCAAGGATAAGGAGGTCAGCCGGGCAACAAAGATGTTAGAACATTGGCGCAGACGCACCTGTCTGCGTGCGTACCAAGGCGCGCCTTTCGGCCCACGGGGTGTCCTCCCAGACAGCGCTGTCAAGTTGCTAGCAGCGCGGCACACATTTGCGACAGTCGAGGACTTGCGGGGTCTTGGCTGGCTCCTGGTTGACGAACATGGACCTGAGGTGCTGGCCGTCATGGCCTTGGTCGACATGCCGGCAGCGCTGGCCGAGCTACGTCGTCAACAAGCAGAGTACAAGACGAAACAGGCGGCGGTGCTGGAGCGTGAGCAGAAGCGGCTTGAAGACGAGCAGCAGAAGGCTGCACGGGCTGCAGAGCGTGAGCGGAGTCGCCTCCAGAAGCAGATCGCTGAGGCAGCTCGCAAGGAAAAGGCGGCGGAGAGGAAACGAGTCACGGCAGAGAGGAAGCGAGAAGCTGAAGAGAAGAACCCCCCGGGGTCCATGGAAGAAATG